GAAAATTTAATTTTTACTTGTTTATTATATTCAAAGTATATTCTAAGTGCATCACCCAAATGTGCCAGGGAGGAAGAGGTGTGGAATTACCAAAGCTTTCCCAGTTTGGCAACCTGAGAACAGAGTCTATTCGTCTGATGCTGAGTTTCTTTCTGCAAAGCAGTTTTTTGCATCTTCAGAAAACAAGAGAGTGAAAATACCTAAGCAGGGAGATTGGCCTCCCGTGAAATCCATTGAAATTAGTGAAAAGATTTCTATTGACCTTCCTGGCATTTAGATAAGCTCTTTAATGCTTCAATAATAATTATTTTTAACACAGTCACTCTTGGAAAAGAGTCTTGCTGTGATTCACCAGTCCTTTGCTCAACACCTGCGGCTGGTGGCTGGCATGGTGCTGCTGTGCTGAATCCCAGGGCTGAGCTGGGATGTGTGGGGAGAAATAAAAACCCTGCAGGCTGTGCCCCACCATAATCCTTGTGTCACGAGCCAGGCCTGTCCACCAGCAACCCCTGACACCAACCCAAAGGTCCAGCCAGGACTTGCAGAATTAGCTCAGGGTGGCTTTGCACTGGCCAGCAGAGATTTACAAAGGAGCTGCAAAGAGTTTGAGTTAGTTTATTTCTAACCTCAACATACTTTGCTGTGAAAATGACCAAACATGGGATCAATTGGGGTTTCCAGCTTTATGCTGATGTGTCATTTGCTTTGGAAGTTTGGGTACCTGGGCTGTTAAATAAGGACCTCAAGCTTTTCAGTCCAGCATTATTCTTTTGGTACTGGCTTTGACTGCATTGCTGCAAGTTGTAAATATCACCAGCCACACAGTTTCATCCCTGTCTGCTAATGTTTTCAAGTTCTGTATCTTCAGCACACGCCAGAACAAGCACCCAGTATTTGTTGACATTTTATCTCCAGCTTTCCCATATTTTTGGATCTGATACCTGGCTGCTTCACACCTGAGCACATGTACCCATCCTGTTTGCTTTTAACCATCCCTGTCAGTTGCACAACTGTGTCCTGCCCCCTGTTGCATCACCATCAGGCCACAACAGAGGCTTGGAGAGACAAAGGACTTCAGAGAGCTGGGAGCCCTCTCTGTCAGATAGAGCAGCACTCAGATGCTGCTCAGATAGGCAAGGCCAGACGTTCAAAGGTGCTGATCTGACTTGCATATTTGTGACAGGTGTGGCCAAGCTACTGATAACCACCAGCCCCCGAGATATTCCTTGTTTTGGCTGCATCTCCTTGATTGTTCCCCCATGATTTTTGGTGTCTTGCTTATTTTCTCATGCATCTGATGGCCTCCTCCATCCCACAGCTCCCAGCTGCCGTCATCGCCACCTTTCCCAAGGACTATGCCAGAGGGAGTGCCTGATGATCCTCACCCACCATAGCTCCAATTAACTGCCACTCTCACCATGCCAAGGGTTATTTTACACCAGCAATTTTTGAGCCCTGTGTTAAATTAGGCCTTCTTAGTTAAGCCAGATTAAGCCCTCTGTTAAATAAGGCCAAATTAAGCTAGAATTTGTCTGCAATGGTTGTGCCTCCAAAATGCAATACTGCTTCTGAGAATGAGGAGAGGCTCATGTTTACACAGGCATCACCTGTGAGTGACTTTGGATTGTTGTTTAAGGAGAGGAAATGCCCTGTTTTCCCACAGTCAAGGCACACAGTCTGTTTCTAGCAGAATTATTTTTCAAGGGTGTTCTTCCTTTTCCTATTTTACAACCTTTGATTGCACATCCAGAGCTTTGGCTTCCTCTCCAAGCAGCTGCCTTGCCAAGGCATTTAAATTGTGAGCTGGAATTTCCAATGTTTGAAATTAGCATCTGGGCTAAAACCATTCACCAAAGACTTTGGGTAGCAGATTTGTGAGAACTATGAGCCTAGGACAAAGATGAGTTGGAGTTCTGTGGGCAGAAGGGCTGTAAAGCATATCCAGCAAACATTCAAAATGCTTGATGTGTTTTAAGGGAGCATTTAACATTAATTTAACATTAAGGATGAACAAACAGCTGAGATTAAGTCCTTCAAGGATGACCAAAAGGTTCTTATGGTCATTGTGTCAATAGGGATCATGGATTTTATAAATCCAATGGAGGAACCACAGTCACATCTGAAGAGCTGCAGCAATTCTCTTGAATCTTGTTTCAGTGAACACTTAAAATACCACTATTCCCCCTTGCCTTTTTTTAAGCTCTTCCCCCACTCTCCCCCTTCCAGCTCCTCAGGTAATTAACTGGAAACGACCCAGTTGCAGCATTGTCAAAGGTCTAACACCCATCAAACCCAGGAAACTCAGGCTCCTTGAATGCTCCCCTGCTTACCCCGTGCTGTTGTGCCTAAAGTATTACAGGGGTCTGTGAAAAGTGCTTGATCAGATACACTGTACCACATGTTCCCAAGCACCAACACACAGCAGCATGACTTAGGGATAGGATTTCAGCCTTCATAATGAAGAGTCTTGCTTTTATGAGTTCGAGTCAGACCCTTAACGTAATTTTAACATAGATTTTGGTGTTTAATTATGTAATAAGATTTACTGCAGTCATCTAACAGATGTTGATTCAGGGTCAGTGTTTCTCATAAATTAGTTCTGAAAGGATTTGTTACTTCTGGGTCAGCAGATAGGTCCAGAGTGCAAAGAAAAAGGGGAAAAACAATAAACACTGAGTTGAAGGGTTTCTTGGGATTCTTTCTTCAGTTACATATCCACATATTTTCATGATCTTAATGACTATAGCCACAGGAATGTTTGCTTTAACACTAAAGATGGCTCAGGCCAAAACCCTATACCCAAACATCTGCAAAGCATGGGAAAGTTCAAACTTTGGGGCTCTTTATTTTATGACCCTGGCTGTTAATTTTTCATACTAACATGACACATTTTTCCTAGGGCTCAGCAGTGGGAATTGCTGTGAACTTTAGCAGCACCCCAAAAAGTTTCATCTTCATGTGCTTGTTGTCAGACCTTGTGTATAAAGTGCAGCTAAAGGCCAGTGTTGGTTGATGTAGTTGTCATCACACACGTACTGAAAAACTGCACCCACCTTCCTCTGGAAATTCAGCCTTCCCATGTCTTTGGAAGCAAATCATGTTTGTACATCCTACTGCTAACAGCTGCAACTAAACCCACACAGCATTATACTCATTCTTCTACATTTGTGGTTAAAGGAGGGATTCCATATTAAAGTATTTTTCATTCCATTTTAATTTAGTTGCAGATAAATTCCTTTAAAACTGAAATTATGCTCTTTATATCTTATTCTGTTAGGAGTACTTTGGAGGAAAGGGATTGAGGCTTGTCTAATAGTGTTGCTAGCATGTCCAGGGTAGTTGTAGCCTGCCAAGTCTTTCACAAACACTGGTGAATATCCACAATATTCCTCCACATCAGGGTATGAGACACTAAATGTTGCCCCTGAGATGTTTTAGTAGAGGTGCAACAGAGACTGCTCAACACATAAAACCATTCGCTAAACTTAACCACCTTTGTCTTGGAAAGCTTAGAGGTTTCATACCTAAAATACTCCTCTAGGATGAATCCCAGCCATGAGTAAGAGCTCTGAAGCATTTCCCTGAGCAGCAATCACACAGTGGCAAACTGGACTCCTCACAGAAGGGATGTGAGAGAGGAGGAAGAGTCCATGGCCAGCAGCTGAGCCTCAGCCAGCAAAGCAGCACTGAACCTGCTCCGTGCTTGGACACAGCCCTGCTTCCAGAGCCTCCCCACGCTCTGTCCCTGCCATGGGGACACCCTGGCCAGGGCTGCTCTGTGTTCGTACCATGCAGAGCTGTAAATTTAAACAGCATTTTCCAGACCCAGGGTTGAAACTCCTCTTTTTCAGGAGTAATTCCCTTTAAGTCAATGGATTTACACAATGGATTTGCTGCTGCCAGAAGAAAATCAGGCCTGTAGAAAGACACACATTCTTCGCCAAGGAAATCTCAGAGCTAACTACTTGAATTGTGCAGTCAAGCTGCAGAGGGGTCAAGTGGACAGACGACAGGACTGGGACATATAGGAAGTCCCTGGTTCAAACCTCAGCTCTTAAAATGTCATGCGTTGTGACCTCAGGCAGTCAGTTCAGCCCCTTATACCTCCATTTCCCCCTTTTCCTTTGTCTGACTTGTCTGTTTAATTTGGAATTTGTTCCAAGAAGGGTGCCTTGCCTCATGTGTTGGGCTGGGGCACTGACACCTCTCCTCCCCCTTGCTGGAGGACAGGCTTGAAGTCTTTGTTTGCTCCCAACACTGACCCCTGCTTCCGTCCCACGAGCAGGGTGACACGGGACCACCGGATGTCCATCAGGAGACAGGCAGGCCTGTCACCCCGTGGGATGTCACACATCCCAGCACCAACCTGGGAGGATCTGGCACTTGTTATTTCACAGGCAGGGCTGGGAGGTGGAAGGAAGTCCTCACTTTGGACAGTTTCTTCACAGCCCTGATCACTAAAGATCCTTTAAAACGAAAGATTTGACCCTACAGAGCCGAGCCATGAGTGTGTGATGAGTTCAGCTGGCACCAAATGTGGGTCACTGGCATGAAAAGCCTCAAGGGCTGGAATTTGTGTCTGTAGTGTGTGGGTATGTGTGTGTGTGATTGTCAGGAGCAGAGCCAGGCCAAGAACCAGCACTCCTGAAAAGCCCCATCTGTTTGTCTCAGCTCCTTCCCACAGCAGCTCGGTCGTTATCGGTGGCAAATGTCCAGAGTCGCTTGTCAAGCACAAAGCTGCCAAAAATAATTAAAACACAATGGCCCCCTGTGCCAGCCAACTGTAAAACTGCTCCAAAGGGAGCCTGATAAACACACGTATGCCCATAATAGCCCAGATAGAGGCAGGTATTTCCTCTGTGCTGTAGTGATCTGAGCAGCCCCTGAGATGCTGCCATCAGATATTCCCGCCCTTTTCTGTTGTGGCAGCTCTTGAGCGTGTTTGATGGCGAGGGGAAGGGGAACAAAGCAGGTGCCTAATGGGCTGTTTTCTGTTTCAGTGGAGCATGACAGAGAGTTTCACCACCAGCGCTGCCACTACCGAGAGTTCAGGTTTGATCTCTCGCGGATCCCGGAGGGGGAGGCGGTGACGGCGGCTGAGTTCCGCATTTACAAGGATTACATCCGCGAGCGCTTCGACAACGAAACCTTCCAGATCAGCGTCTACCAGGTCCTGCAGGAGCACCCGGGAAGGTGAGGGACCCACAGGGAGACCCTGCTGGGGGCACAACTCCCTGTTCCCACAGGGAGTTACAGCCAGTGCTCCCAGAGGTCTTGGTGCCACCAGCACGAGCGGCTGCGTTTGGCACTGGGGCGTGCAGGGGATGCCAGCGATGCTGCTGCAGCAGCTCCTGTGTGTTGTGACATGGGCACAGGTGCCCTGGGAGCCTCCCCGTGGCCCAGGGAGCATCCTCAGCACTCCTGCTCTGGCCTCTGGGAGCACTCAGTAGCCTGGCCATGTGCTAGTGCAGAAAAAGTATCATAAACCAGGAATATTTCAAGATTTCTGGAAGTACTCCCCCCTTCCTCCTGCCTCTGATGGATCCTGAGGTGGCAAACCCAAATGCTTCCTTTGGAATTGCAGCTTAATTACTAGCCCTTATTATCAAAGGCATTTGAGCTCCCTAATTAACAAAGACAGATGACACCATGCTTTTTATATTGACTGATTGTTTTGCATGTGCAAAACTACAAGATGAGCTATTAAATCCCTTCCAAGCAATTATTAATGTATGCCAAGCTCCCTGACAAATCCTCCAGGGAACTTGAATAAGAACATATGTTCAATTTTCTCATCTGGTTTTAGTTCCAATTAATCAGCAATCCCAAACCACTTATCAAAGGCACTTAGTTTCATTTGCACATATTTCTTTCACATACAAATCCTACCAAAAGTGAGATTGCATTTTTTTATGTGAAAAGAATTTACAATCACGTTCAAGTCAGAAGTTATTCTTTAGGACTACTAAATATGGGCTAATAATACTACAGTTCTAGTTTAGGTTTATGAAAAGAGAAACACTAGGGATTTAAAAAGTGGAAAGTCCAAAAGGGTAAGAAAAAAAAGTATAATCAGGACTCTGGCTTTATAGTTTTATAAGAGCTAATAAAAATGCAGAAAAAATTGAAATATGTCAGGAAACCTTGTCAACTTTTTTTTAATGGTGAGAATTTCTGCTGGCTTTGCTGGATGGTAAAAATATTTAACCACTGGCGTGTTTTCTTCTACATCTGAAATTCTGATTTTATAGCTTAAAACTCATGGTTCACCTGGCATTTCTAATTATGCAATCATTTGCAGTGTTTGGGAACTGTGCTAAAATGAATCTATTCTTATCAAACAGTGGTAATTCCAACTGTGCATTTTAACCAGGTCTTCCTAAAAGGAGAAGGCAACAAGCCAGAGGTGTGCACAGGACCCATCAGATGTCCCGCTTACCCTAAGCATTTCATTTCATTCCCTCTTAGGCCATTCCAGAGGCAGCAGCCTCCCTGTGCTGCATTTCTCCAGTGGTTTATTTAGGTACCAGCCTGCAGGGATGACTTTCCAGTCTTGGGAAGAGCAGAAACTGTAGATGTGCTGGCAGAGGAGGAGGCACCAACCTGTGTGCCAGGGCACTGGGGAACTGCCAGGAGCCTGCTCTGGAGTGAATGACCTTCCTCATCAGATGCCAGGGAAGTTCCTCCTCAGGTCCTGATGAGTGAGGTGCCCATTTGGGATCTTACTGACAGAGTCAGAACCAGATCTGATATCTTAGTTTTACAGTGGTGCATCCAAAATGTTGTTACAGCTTTGTTTAGAGAGGATGGGAAGGTACTGCTGGGGAGAGTTGTGAGTGGAGCAGCAAATGCTTCTGCAAACTGTCTCCTCCACTAATTCCTATTCCTAAAGGAAAAAAATAATGTATGCAAAGGGTGGGCATGTACATCAACCACTGTCTGCAAGAGGTGAGGAATCCTGCTAATTATACAGATGTTCCAGTCACTAGACTAGAGGCAATTTTACTGCATCATATTCATCACAGCAACACTATTTTTAATGACTGTTCATGCATATTCCCCTTTTGCATACATTTTGGCACAGGCAATGGCGAGTTTTGAACAGCTTGTCCTGAAAAAAATATTCCTGTTGGTTTGGATTGACCAAAGGTAAAAATATTGTCACTACCATTTGTAAAAATATTTGCTCTTTTTCTGCATTTTTCCACTGACATTTTCCACCCGGCTCTGTCACAGCCCAGTCATCCAAGTCAGTGTGTCATTGGGCAAGTGGAGAAAGAAAACAAACTCTCTCCAGTGTTGATCAAAAAACACCCATTGACTTTGATGCTTCCTTGGCTGTTTGTCTCATCCTGAGCTGCTGGAAAGTCAGCCCCATCTGACGTTGTTAGCAACAAGAGCAAAACAAAGCCAAACCCTCCCCCCCACGCAGGCAGGGAAACCTCTGCTGCCTTCGGGTTTCCTTCTCCCAGGGCTCTCCTGACACAGAAGCACTGCTGGAATTGCCTTTTGAGACCTGAACCTGAAATTCTCCAGGCTGTGCAGTGCCCGAGGCACGGCAGCTCCTGCCAGGCTGCCGGGGGCAGCTCAGCATCCTCTCACACACAGCAGAGAGCAGGACAGCTCCCGGAGCCACACTCAGCACAGGGCGAGCTGGAAGGCTCAGGCTGAGGGGGACTGGAGAGATTTTCCTCTGTGAGATGTGCTGGAGGCAGGATTTTTAGTGAAACCACACAAGAGCCTCCAGTTTGGAGGGTGTGATGGTGCCCTCAGCTCACATAAAGCAGAGGTATGAGCAGTTAATGACTTCACGAGTTCAGACAGGTCGGAGGTATCTAACCAGCAACATCTCTTGTGTGCACTTCATTGTCAGTGAAAAATACAGGCTTAGGTGTTTCCAGAGCAACAGCTGCACCCCCCAGCAGACCATTCCTGAAATCCTGCCCCTCAACAGCTCAAGTGTTTGCAGGGTAGAACCTCTCCCCCATCCACCTGCTCAACCTAACAACCCTGGCAGCAAAAAGGAGGGCCCAGCCCTTCCTTTGCAGCAGATGAGATGTCACTTGACTTTAGACTGCCAGAAATTACATCTCTGTCAGACTGAAGATATTATTACAGGTGTTTGTAGGAAATCAGGCTAATGATCAAATATTCTTTCTGAATTTCCAAATCTTTCCTTGCAAGGCAAGCTCTTCAAACTGGCAACATCTCCTCCATAAAAAGGCGTGCACAGCATTCTTTAGGCACACAGCATCAGTTATTCACTTTAGGCAAGCAAGTACATTCATGAACAAAAATGTCCCAAACATCACAAACACTGATGATGTTTTAATTGGTATAACATGCCTCAAAGCTTTCAAGTGCATAGCTCAAAGTCCAGTGACTCATGTCCAACTTCTTTTTGGACTTTGTGGCTCACTCTCCTAAAAGCCTGGGAAGGTGTTCTACAAAGCAGTGCCTGACTTGAGCAGGGTGAGAGCAGCAGGACATCCAGTCCAGGTTTGTGCTGACAAACCCTCCTCAGTGGGAGCTGAAGGTGGCTCAATTCTGCTCCCCCTGGAAAAGGAGGGAGAGCAAAGCAGATCCCAGTGCTCAGCCAGGGCATCCCCCTCAGTTTATTAACCTGGAGCTGCAGAAAAAATGCAAACTGTAGAGCAGCACTAAAGCTCAGAGCTCGATCCTGCTTTTCTCTCTGCACCTTTTGAAGCTGAAATACCTCATCCCAGAGTTACATCTCCTATTTCATTGGACCCAGCTCTTGCACTGCAGAGTGAATCCCAACCCCTTTGAAGTCGATGGGAGTTTTGTTACTGGAGAGAATAAAACCAGGTACTTGACCAGCCTTTGGTAATTGAAATGTAGTTGTTACATGTCCACTTTGTGGCCATTATGGATTTCACGGGCTTCAAAGGCAGTGATTTGAATGCTCATGTTACCAGCCCTACAGAAAAATCAGATCCTGCAGGATGCATTCCTGGGTTTGACTTGCAGCTGGAACGCTTTAGCTTGAGCTTCAAACTACACCACTGCTGCAGCAGATCAAACCTGAGCCCCTCTCCAGACCCCTTTCTGCCATTCACTGGAGTCTGCTTCCATGTTGTGGGTTGAAACATGTAATTCAAGTGCCTAAGAAAGCCTTAGGCCCACCCAACCCATAAAGCAGATGTGCCTTCTTTTTGGGGCTTTTTTAAGTACCAGTGTGATCGTTCTGAGATGGTGTAGCACAGCACAGTTGGATTTAATGATGTGCCCCAGCACCATGACAGTATCTACAAATACAGACAATAACTTTAATTATAATTTTTTGGTGACTTATCTGCAACTCAGTCAATAACTACACTTATCTCTCAGCAAGCAGCAAGAGAACTTGAGCACAGAGGTCCTGCAGCTCTCCAAGAACAGAGCTGTATCTGGTTTTCTCCTTCAGACCATTCCTAAAAGCCACTGCAGCCTGCAAAACCTTTGACAAATCTTGAACTTACCAAGGCACAATTCTTCACAGGCACTTGAGGAGCTGCAGGAGGCATTTTGCATACCCCAGTGGGTCCTTGGGTCAGTGATGCCCTGATCAACAGCCCTTCAATGCTGAGCAGAAACAGCTGTACAGAAAGTGTCAGAGATGTGTGTATAACCTCATTTCTCCCAGCACTGTTTTTACAACAGGCTTCAGGTTTAGGAGACTTGTTGCATCTCAGTAACAAACTGCCATTGCCACTTTTAATCAGCCTTTGAGATCTAGATCTTACCTTCTCCTACACTATCTAAGAAAGGCAACACAGCTACTAGAAGCACACAAAGCAGAATTAAGGATCTGCTGCAATTTTAAAGTTAATTTAATTTTCCCCTAGATTCAGCAGAATTTACACAGATCTGTTTCACTACCAGTACAGCTAGTTTTCAGGCCAATCCTTGGAAATCACCTCTAGCAAACTGAATTCCTGCTGTGGACATCCCTTCACCTGGCAGAGCCCCCCGGGCTGTGTTTGGCTGGTGGCTCCTGCCTGGGGGCATGGGGAGAGCTTTTATCAGTGGGGAGAACTTTTATCAGAGGGGAGGGAGAGGGAAGGATAAGCAAGGGATAGCAGGCACAGGGAAGGGAAGGTGTGGGAGGAGGGCTGCATCAGGTCTGTGTACAGAGGGTGTTGCAAACGTGCCAGGGAGAGGCCCAGGGAGATCCTGGGGCCCTCTTAAAGTAGGAAAGTCTGAAAAATATTTTCCTAAGTTTGTCTTTGGACAGCTGCAGCTGACTTTAAGCAATGACACCAAGCAAACTGGAATCTGGATACGGCAGGTTTTTAATCCAAACAGATGTCTTCTAACCCCACATCTCCTCTCACCCTGCCAGGATGCCCTTTTTGCCTCCTCCTCCCTCCACCTGCTCAAACCTGGACGTGAATAACCCCCTTCCTCCTTGCCAGCTCTGTCCTTGGGCTGCCTGCTGGAAAACTTGCCCTGTGCCTGTGACCCAAACAGCCCCTCTAGGGTTAGAATGTGAGTTGAGAGGAGAGGATTGTGCTCCTGCCTTAGACACTGTGCTTTACATGCTGAATCAATAAGAATTCAACATATCCATGCCTCAGGTGTTTCCTACTTTAAAACAGAAGCAGGAGGGTTAACCCACCTTTGTAAAGCCATCCAAAGGCTGTTGCAAGGTGTCTCTGTATGGTTACTGTTTAAAGCACTGATATTGGAATTCCTGCAGGCAGAGGGAGGGATCAGGGCAGCCCAGCTGCCAGGGGTGTTATCTTTGGGTGAGGGATTCCCTGTCCCTGATGCAGGCAGGGGCAGCAGGAGCCTGGGCTGCTCCCAACACAGAGTGCTGGCTGGTCACAGAAATCACCTTGCCTTACAGTGCAATGGAAATTGCCAAGAGTCACCTCCACTGCTGCTGCCTGTCCTTTTTCCCATTTATTTTTGTCCCACTTGGAAGTGCTCATTAGTGTTTACTACCACTTGTCAACCAGCAGCTTGAAATAACAGGGCTGACGAGCGGGATGGGGACAGTGAGTGAAGAAAACAGACATAAAAGCAGGGACTGTTTGGCAGGAGGACTGTCCTAAAATAGTGTAGACCTTACAGCATTATAGTCTATAAATGCAGAGTTTTATCTCCTGATCCCTTGCCAATGCAGAATTTTTGTCTCTCATGTTTTCATCCATGTTCTCCTCGTGCCACAGCTCACCAAGGCAAGTGATTGGGGCAGATGCAGCACTTCTCATTTTTGGGTATATTTCTAGTGTTTATGGCTTCAAACCAAACTGCATCCCTGGGACTGAAAAAGCACCCCAGCAAAAATCAAAGAAACCATACATCACATTTTCACGAAGCTTCATGGTTGTTAATTCTTTCTCTTATTTTAGAATTGTCATGTTGCAACAATTCCCTTTATCCTACACCTTCCCTGCCTTATCTGTACTTTTTTTTCTCTTATTTCTGCACTCACCCCCACAATCCTCACTTCTTCCAGCCCTTTTCTCTTCACTAAATATTTGTGATCCCTTTCCTCACCACCATCAGCCCTTTGGCAGGTCAGCCCTTCTACCTCCATAGCTCCAGCTGCTTCCCAGACACGATCTCACATGCATCCTGCCCAGCCACCCTCACGCTGCAGTGCTTGTTACTCACCCCTGAGCCCAGAAAACAAGTTCACTCAGGAAGTTTCACAGACCACACAGCACTTACATGACCTGTAGACAAATTTTTGGGAGTGCTTTCTAACAGGAGGTGACTCTCCTGTCTGGCATCCAGTGTGAGACACTACCAAAGGCATCAGCAGGCAAATGCCAACCTCCTGTCTTCATCTCAGGCTCCACTGAGAGCCTGATGCTTGAGACAAGCGAGCAGAAAGCCCCAAATTTTATCATTGCTAAAAGCTCTGACACTCCCGCTGATGTCAGTTCTTTGAACGCTGAGCCATTTTGATGTGGTCTCAACAGAACATACTTGTGGTCTGGATCCAGACTTTGTAATTTATGTAACTCTAATCTAGACATTAACATTTCCATGTCCCAGCTTAATTTTCCTGTAAAAGGAGGATCATGTGCCTTTCCTATCTCTTGCTCTGGAAAAAGGCATGGTACAGTTTCTTGCATGCACTGAAATTCTAAAATGAAGGAACTGAATGCAGGGCCAAGGAACCAAAGGGGTTTTTTGCCTCCTTGCTGCAGAGCCATCACCCACATTGCTCCAGGAACGTGCTCTGTGAGTACACAGTTGGAAGGTGAGGTACAGGAGTGAGATGTGCACTAGAAAGCTTTTCTCTTTGGGCTCAGGTCTTCATCTCTCAGCTAAAACCCAAAGCAGCCACATCAGTTAGACTTAACCAGCACTACCTTCTGTGACAAGTCATTAGATGGGAGCCCTCAGAATAAATGATGTTTAAGTTGTAGCAGAACAACATTTCTTTGCTGTGTTTACTGTGTCTTGTCCAACAAGGATATCTCGAGGGCTGGCTGCCTATTAGCTGGTGATTTAATGCTGTTTGCCTGTCTTTGGAGAGCAGGACATTCCACTTAAAGGAGGTTTTCTTTTTGAAAGGAATGAGAGGTTTCTTTTCATCTGAACAGGAGCCACATCTCAGGAGCCTGCAACACCAGTGATGTTCTGCATCCCACCCCTGGCCACTGCTGGTGGGCCAGGGCAGAAAGCACTAACCCAGGAGTGCTTGAACTCCTCCAAAGGGCATCTGACACTGGGCTTTTTTGGGGTCCAAATGTTCCAAGTGTGTGTGGGAAGGACATTTCCCTTCAGTGGGTCTCTTTGATCTCTCTCACTTCGGGCTTCCCCTCCAGGCCTATTGTTTGCACATTGCTGTAACTACAGGAAAACAAACGCATTATACAATTTCCCAGACTGACTCACCCTGGTACTTGATGCCTCTTGTAGTCTGCTTACCCTGATTGCATCATGTCAGCATGGGAAGCTTAAAGGCTGTTTTTTCTGAGTAATAATACTGCAGTTGAGCAGTAGCTAAAACCAAAAAAAAAAAAGATTATCATGATTGCTACTGATCGCAACCTGCAAACTACAAGGGGAGAAAACCAAGCAAGCCAAGTCCCTGTTAACTAAACCTTGTGTGAATCATGAGTTCCAGTCAGGGGCCATGCTTAAATAATGGACTATGTGAATAAAACACCCTTTTCTCCTGGAAACTTGGCCTCAGCCACTGGAACGGGCCAATCCATGCAACTCCCTCATCCCTGGCCCCTCTGGGATGTGTTTGGTTCAGTGTGCTGTAAACAGGGAAGGGTGGGAGGTGTCCTGTGCTGTGGGAACGGGGCCACTGCTCCTGGGTGGGGATGAAACCCCAGGAGATTTGTCCCCTGGTTGGAGTTCAAGCTTCTTGCACTGCTGTAACTAATGTGACAGGGATTATCCATCCTGTTTAACTTCAGATTTCCTGGGAGCAAAGCTGACTGAGCTCCCAGCACCTACCTAGAGCCTCGGCATTGCTGCACCACAGCCCTTCCTGAGCCACCCCCTTTGGCTCCCAAACATCCACTGGAACACTCCCACAGGATCCCCTCTGCCTTGGCAAGGAGGTGTTGCAGCAAGTCCAGCTCTGCAGGGCTTCCACAAATCAGAGCTTTGCTTAAAAGCAAGTTCTAATTGTACCCCCAGCATCACTGGCGGCGTATGGGGTACCCAAATGGGGTACCCAAATCTGTCCTGCTTTGGGGAGGAAACACAGAATCCTTTCCCTGCACAGCCTGAGCTCTGCAGGAACTCATTTCAGAAATTTAATTCCATGTAAGCCAGCACAGTCAGAGGTGGGTGGTGACACCCCTTAGCTCACAGAGGAAAGCACCATCTCTTACACACTCTGCCCCATTGAGGTTGAAAGGAAAGATGAATAGTAAAAACATTGCAAAAACCCCTCCATTCCTGTTCTGTGTGGGACAAAAGCTTCTAATTTCTTGGTATGTCAAAGGGGAAAGAATCACTAAAAGCTGTGAGTCAAAAGCCTTTATGCCAACAGCTCTCCTCAGATTCATTGCTGATAAATTCATGTTTCATGCAAACAAGAGGCACTGTGTAAACCAAGCTGAATATACATATGTGCACTGACAAATCTATAGTGACCAAATTCATAAGGCCTTTTAAAGCTTTGAGCATGTGATTAAAGGGTTTTTCAAGGATAGCTCTTCATTCAAAAGGATATAATTACTCTTGAACAAGTTATCATGTTTGTTCACTGTAGGTACAAAAGCAGCTCTTACAGGACTTGTCTAGACACTTCCACCACGTGTCTTTGTTCTTCTTTTAAAGTATTTTTTTTATAAAACAACTGCAACAGCATCAATTTTTTTTTTTAATTTGAGTTTGATCTTTTTGTTCTGATAAGACTCCTTCTTTTACAGAACCTGTATTTTCTCAAATTTCAGTTTCTCAGAAACTTGCCAAGAAATGTCTTGTAAATCTGAAATAATGTCACCTTTTTCAAAAGAACAGAATCTCTCTATTTAGGACCTTTTCAATTTTCTGATATTATTTCTTCAGCTAGAGTAACCCAACAGTAGCCTTTAAAAAAAACACCAAAGCAATGAATTGGAAAAAGGTTGTGACCCATAGCACTGCAGAGCTGTGACTGTGCAGAGGGTTATTGCCTCAATCAGTGATCTGTAACCTCAGATGAGCAAATTTTTAAAAAAACCTATTACATATGTTAATGTATGCACACCAGTGTTCCAGCTGGCTTGCACCAACACTACAGTTATGCATAAAAGTCAGGAAATTGTGCGTGGAAAGGCTAATGAGCAGCACTGTCTGCCCAATTATGGGATTTGCATGTGCAAACAGTAATTCTGCAGATCTGGGCCTGGCAAGTGTTTTTTTGAAGTTGCATCAGGAGCTCAAGGTTGACAGCAAAGTAACCCCAAACCAGCTCAGCTCTGCTTCAACCCATCCTTGAGGAGAGGAAGAGGAAGAGGAGAGAAAAGAGGAGTTTCACCTGAGGGTGATCGGAGGGGAATACAGACCAGCCCAGCTCTGCCTAAAGGATGTTTGTGGAGACTCCAGTGGAAATCCTGGCTAACTGAGAATTCTGCTTTTCATTTCAGGGATTCAGATTTGTTCCTGCTGGACTCCAGGACGATCTGGGCTGCAGAGGAAGGGTGGCTGGTGTTCGACATAACCGCGACCAGTAACCACTGGGTGGTGAATCCCCAGCACAACCTTGGCCTGCAGCTCTCCGTGGAAGGCATTGATGGTGAGTGTCACACCCCAGCAGAAATCAGGGACTCTGTTTCATGATTCCCAGCCAGGGGAAGCACTGAATATCATATGATGTAAACACAGCAGGATTTTGATGCAACACTTTATGCCTGGGCAATCCTCAAGGCTTTAAGTGAAGTCAAATACCAAAATATATCAACCCCCAACCTTCCTCTGTATCTGCTGTTGCATGATCTGTAATCATTAAGCAAATACAGTCTATTTTTAAAGAATCATACAAAATAAATGAACTGAGAGTCCTTCTGCCACTCTCCCTGGCTGGGTAGCCTTGCAGGACTTCTCCAGGACAGTGTCAGCTGTCCTTTGGCTGCTTCATTTGTGGCTGACAAGGCACAGCTGGCCTGCAGCTCTCCGTGGAAGGCATTGATGGTGAGTGTCACACCCCAGCAGAAATCAGGGACTCTGTTTCATGATTCCCAGCCAGGGGAAGCACTGAATATCATATGATGTAAACACAGCAGGATTTTGATGCAACACTTTATGCCTGGGCAATCCTCAAGGCTTTAAGTGAAGTCAAATACCAAAATATATCAACCCCCAACCTTCCTCTGTATCTGCTGTTGCATGATCTGTAATCATTAAGCAAATACAGTCTATTTTTAAAGAATCATACAAAATAAATGAACTGAGAGTCCTTCTCCCACTCTCCCTGGCCAGGTAGCCTTGCAGGGCTTCTACAGAACAGTGTCAGCTATCCTTTGACATGCTTCATTTGTGGATGACAAGGCACAGCCCTGGCCTTAGCAAAAGGATCACACAACCATAACTTGGATTTAGCAGCAGCACTCAGTATCTTGGGACAGAATAATCCTGGATATCAGCTCTGCATTGCACAGCAGCATCCAGACATCCTTTGACAGCAACAAGGAGAAACATTAAATTTCCCACTGCCACCCTCTCCTTGCCCTTTTTATAAATAATTGATTGAATTCTACAGAGAAACCTACTAATTGTCTTTTACTAAAAATCAAATTATTTTAGAACCCAAGATGAAGGATGATGATGAAATCATGATGATTATCATGGATGATAATCAGAGTTTTGTACAAAGTTATCAGGTATAGTGGTGGCAAGATGCAGCAATAAGCAAAATGCCTCTAAACATTTGTTTCTCTCAGCTGAGGTGTATCTGGAACTCTGTCAGCATTTCATGCAAGGCATTTTTATTTTAAGTTAATAACCTTCCAGTGGGAATTTAGTGTTCCTATGGGCTGAGTTTTATGGTTCCTTTTATAGGATCACTTCAAATTATAGGTTGGTGAACTTGAAGAAACCCCTCTAAAGAATGCAGGAAAAGCTCATGCTAAGCGGATTTGGGGAAAAACAATTATATGTAGGAGAAATTAATGCAACTTTCACACACAGATATAAAATGAAGCTAGCTGTGCTGAGCTGCTCTTGCCAGAAGCAGCTTTGCCCATTAAGCCCAGCTCTTTGGAGGGCGGATGGCATTCCCAGGAGCGCCCTGAGCAGGCAGCAGCTCTGCCCTGTGCTGTCCTGGCTGCTGCCAAAGCTGCTGCAGGCCTTCTCACCGGTGTGCCGTGCTTGCAGGACAAAGCATCAACCCCAAGCTGGCGGGGCTGATCGGGAGGCACGGCCCCCAGAACAAGCAGCCCTTCACCGTGGCCTTCTTCAAGGCCACCGAGGTGCACCTGCGCAGCATCCGCTCCACGGGGGGCAAGCAGAGGAGCCAGAACCGATCCAAAACACCAAAGAACCAGGAGGCATTCCGGGTCTCCAACATTGCAGGTACAGCACTGCTGGCTGGGGCCACGTTTCTGGCTCTGGGATGATGCTGGGAATGGTTTTTATTTGTTTTGGTCCACCCCTGGTTTGAACGGTGTGGGGTTAGGGTTGTTCCAAAAGTGGCAGGGGAAAGAATGTTTGTTTGAAGCCGTGTTGGACTGAGGGATTTCTTAATTCAAATTTTAGAAAATACCCCAAGCACCTAACCAGAAAAACTCCGTTTCTCCCATATGAAATAAATTCTCATTTTGAAATGGAAGATAATTATGTTAAAACAATCAGTAATCAGTGATAAGTGATCAGTGTATTTAAATCCCAATGCTGTTCATTTTCAGGGCTAATGATTTTAAGTTCAGCCCCTAAAAAGCATAGTAGTCCCAAAATTCTTGCACAGAAGAGGAAAACCCATTCATTCTCAGGAAAACCACGGCTATTCTGGGGGGAACTGTGCTTCCTAATTTGGAAGAAAACTCCATCAGGCATTTGAAATAGAAATGTGGCTTAATTATGTGATAGCTCAGAGGAATGGGCCCTTGATGAGGATCCCAGCAGGAGCCACAGCTCAGGGCTGGCTCTGCTGAGGCAGCAGCAAATTCCAGCTGCTTCTGGGAGTGCCTCACTGAGTGGAAGGAGAGGTTGTGAGGAGCAAAAGGAAAAGGAAAATAGAGATTCCAATCATATTTTTATAGAATCATTAAGGTTGGAAAAGGCCTCCAAGATCATCAAGTCCAACCTTTGACCAACTCCCACCTTGTTAACCAGCCCAGAGCAGTGAGGGCCACGTCCCTTGAGCACCTCCAGAGATGGGGACTCCAGTGCATTCCTGGCAGCTCCTTCCAGTGCCTGACCACCCTTTCTGTGATGAAATTCTTCCTGAGCCATTCTTTCTGCTTGGGCCTTCAGCTCAGGCTAGAGGTCCAGGATGGACAAAACTTTAAAACTGCACCGATTCTCCTTTTATGTATAGGCAATAGAGTGAGCTGTGTGTTGCTATTAGGAAGTCAGAGGAAGTCCAGGGGAAAAAAATAAAGATAAAAAACCTACTTTCCCAGGCCTTTATTGGCTTTGCACTAAAAAGCCAGAAATGCATTTCATATATGTTGAACCCAGCCACTAGAAAATGACTAAAACAGCTAAAAAACCAGCTGTAAGTGCACCAGATGAGCAGCAATGCCTCACTCCCCGCTGAGGGAGCTGGGGCTGCCCAGCCTCATGGCCACCATTGTCCCCTCACAGAGAACAGCAGCAGTGACCAGCGACAGGCCTGCAAGAAACACGAGCTCTACGTCAGCTTCAGGGACCTGGGGTGGCAGGTAAGGGCTGGGGGTGGCCAGGCTGGGGCTGGGGTGCCTTTTGCCATCATTTATCAGCTGCAGCAGTGAGATCCAGCCACTAACAGGTTTTTTGTTTTAAATCCTGAAGGGGGAAAAAATATTGTTTACAGCCTTTAGCGTGCTTAAATGCTTCTGCTAAGTTGGGTATACAAATATTTAGTGTGAGGCTGGCTGGAAGCTCAACACAGTCAGGTCCTTTTGAGGGACTGTGGCCCTGCAGATCCTCTGGCAGTGCTGAAGGCACAAATGGCTCTCCATTTTCACCTACCTGGTTTTTCTAGACCTGGTTAAAGCAATTTTCCTTTCTGAAAGCTTGTGTCTGCATTGTGTTGCTGGGTGAAGTGATCCTCGTGGACAGCCAGGACGCTGCTGAATGGATAAACAACTGAACCAGATGTTCAGCTGCTCTGTGGGCACATCTGCAGTGTGGGGTGTGTCCCTGCAGGAAGAGCAGGCACTTTAGAGGCCTGTAAGAGAGCTTTAGAAAGGCCAGGGGGCCAGATTTTTATTTTGCAGGCCACTCTAACTGTGCATGGAGGTATGAATGTTTACATTTATGTGCTGGTTGGCTTTTTGTTTCTCTGCATTTCTGTCCTTCTCCACAATCTAATGGCTCCAATTTGATCAAGGACTGGATCATCGCTCCGGAGGGCTACGCTGCCTATTACTGTGAAGGAGAATGTGCTTTCCCCCTGAATTCCTACATGAATGCTACCAACCATGCCATTGTACAGACACTGGTAGGTGCTATCTCCTAGCACGGGCTCACATCTGACAGGTGCTACTCAGAAATAAATTGATACACAGTGGGTCCCTGAGCTGACAGGGGAAGGAGGAGCTGCCTTAGCTCTCAAGGAGCCTGCAGCACCTGGCCCCATGTCTGGCCTGAATTAGTACCTGGCCAGAAATGACCCTGTCTTTGCTGCAGGCAGTGGCAGGCTCTCTCTGGTTTGAAATGGCCCTGTGACAGACATTGCAGTGGGGGTTTAGTCCCACTGCATGGGAAGGGAGGAGCAAGACAAGACCCACTGTCAGCATCTCTTGGGGAAACTCTGTAAGGATCCACTCGGTGCTGCCACCAAAAGTGGATTTGGGGTCAGGCTGAGAATCAGTGGATCCCAAAGTTACACAACTCAGCTGAGTGAGGGTATGGGACAGGCAGAAGGTTGCCCAGGAAAGAAGACTATGGGAGGAGGAGAAGGGAGAAGTAAATCTTAACATTCCTCTATTCTCATTCCCCAGGTTCACTTTATAAACCCAGAGACTGTGCCGAAACCCTGCTGTGCTCCTACACAACTCAACGCCATCTCAGTGCTCTATTTTGATGACAGCTCCAATGTTATCTTAAAAAAATACAGGAACATGGTGGTACGAGCATGTGGCTGCCACTAGATCTGTAGGACAGAGAAAGAGAGAGGAGTTATTTGTAAAGAGTGGGTTTGTGTGGCTGTGTGGGGTTGGGGGAAAAGTTGATGCTCCAGCCATGGGTTTAAAAAAGTCCCAAACCATTTTAGGACCAGGCCTCTGAAAGTTCAGACAATGGAACAGTTTCTGGATCTAAAGAGGCATTTGAACACATTTTGTTTTAGTTTATTACAGACAATGAGCTTGTAAACTGAAACAAGCCAGAGAAACCATTTAAAACCAAATCTGCTTTCAAAATTGGCTCCTACAGTACATACTTTTGCAAATGAGTCTTTCTGGAGATTGCAAACTCACCAGTGTTGATTGTGAGTAAAACAGTAATAATCTATCCAAGGTGAGACTGTGCTGTGACTAATAAGTGTGTGTAGTTCCTGTAACACGGTTTGCAATAAAATAAGTGAACAAAATATACCTGGAGTGAACAGGTATTTTGTTAGAGAATTATTGCTTCCATCCCTCTGCTTCAATTTCATAAGCAAAACCAAGGATGAATTACATGCAACTTCCAGTTTTAAACTACAGTAGCAAAAGCTGGATGTGGATTGACACAAATTCAAAGGACAGATTAGGCTAAGAAAAAAAAAAATCAATTGGCAAGCAAAAGAGCTGAAGAAAAGTGCTTCACAGAGTGAGAATTTTGGGGTGTACTTTTTTCTGTCAACAAGGAAGGAAATTTCCTCTAGCAGCCAGAAGGTGTTTCAATTTGCTATGAACTTGAAACAGGAAAGCAGCAAAATGCTGAGAAAGAGGGATTAAACCTGACGTTTAGCTAGGGTGTCCTAAGCAGTTACTGTAAAGCTGTAACTAAAGATCCTGCTGCTGTGTGGAAAATGTCCACTGACTTCCCTGAGGGAACAAGTTCCAGCCCTTTTCCAAGAACATGGAGACTCAAGTCAGAAGGTGCTGTGAGTTGGGATGTACACCCAGCCCCACACAGACTGGGAACCTTCCTTCCTGGGGCCAGTGCTTCTGATGAACCCCCTGCTCTCTTGGCTTCACCTCAAAAAACCCACAACAATCCCCTTCAAGGGCCACCAAGAAGCTGGAACCAGAAGCAAGAAAATGTCCCCTCCAGGGTTTTCCTTTTCTTTCTTTTAAAGTCACAGGTTACACAAACATCACACTTAAGTAATTAAGGCTCAATTAAAGTTGTTGCAAAGAAGAATACAGAGTTGCAGCAACCAATCACAAACCAATCCCCTGCTTTGGCACGCACCGAAGTAGGATTGGTATAAATTTCACCAGGGAGATAAAAAGAAAATAATGCCCAATAAAACACCATGTCCAGCACACCCAGCTCTAAATCTCCAAACTTCAGAAAGCTAAACCTCCAACAGATGGGTCCAGGATATCATAAATTCCTGGAGATGGGTCTCTGCTCAATGAGCAGATGGGGCCATGCAGCCACAGTAGGGACTTGGCTCCATGTCTTGCCTTAGAGGAGAGTTAGAGAAAGAAGATAAATGAAATTCTGGACTTCACTCGCTGCTCTTCTCCCTTTAAGTCACAGATCAAATCCAGACCAGATGCCTCACTTTAAAAAGAATAAGCAAAGGAAGAAAAAAACCCCTACTGTCTATGAAATAAATTGGAAACTTGTTTCTGATGGCCTAATTCTCATCTCATTTCAGTCAATTGGTGTTTTCCCAGCAGTTCTCTCAGTAGCAGGATTAGGCTGATGGGAAAGGGGAAGCCCATCCATGACAGTGGTAGGTTTTGGATGGGGGCCTTGCTGAGCAGCTGTCACATTGCTAGATGTGCCTGGCATCCCCCTAGACCTCTCCAACATCTGCAGGAGCAGCCTGGCTGCAGCAGGCACACGCCACAGGCAGGACTGCAGCAAACCTCCCCACGGGGAGACTTTGGGCAAACACAGCCACACGGCAGGACAACCGCTGAAGCCAAAAATCCACCTCTCATGGAGCCTGCAGACAGCACCATCCACCACAACCAGGCAAAGCTGCCCTCAGTGCATCCCTGGTTAGAGTGAGGAACTGAAATCACACAGAGAGGAAGCATCTTTTGACACTGCATACATATACCCACCAGTGCTTCTGTAAACCTCCTAAAGGAGGTGAAGGTGCTGCCTAGAAAGTTAAAAGCTAATCATGTCTGAACTTCCCCTATTTAGTAGCCAAGGATTAGTTTTCTCTTGCGGGTGTTTCAGTGTTGGTGGTCACTGCGTTGGTGTATTGCGTTTTTAACTTGGACCACGGTGTCTTGCTGTATAGGACTCATATATTAAATATTATGTGGGGATTGTTTCTGTTTTGGTTTTTTGTTGTTGTTTTTAAGCATAATAACAGGATTTCTGTTGCTAGGCTCAACATCAGCTTCACTGTTTGTACATTTTTGTGTAAATAGTTGTCACAAACGGAAGAAGAATTATTTATTTCCATCTCTGAATTCCTTTTCAATCACATGCAGGAAAAATGATTCTGGGTTCCTAAACACATTTGTTTCCTTATTTAAGAAGATATTTATTAACAGTTGGCAAAAATGCATACACATTTCTGGTTCTTTTCATAGAGCAGTTGTCAGAAGCCTTTTTGTACAAACTAGTAAAATAAATCATTGCAACTTTACAAAAGATATCCCGACGACATTGTGTATCTGTGTGGTTATTCTCCTTTTATTCAGAGAACCTTTTTGGCTGGACAATGTTTCATCTCGAGCCTCTGTTTTCATGCAGCTCAGTCTCTATGTACTGGCAAAACTGCCACATGTCATTATTTGGGGCAGCTCCTTCGGTCCAAATACAACAGGGAGGGAAGAATAGCAAAAATATGGATGTGTTTTGCAGTCTGTGCTGCAAAGATCCATGATTGAATTACAGTGCAGCTGTCAGCAGCTGTTTCAAAGAAGCAGGGGGTAAATTAGTTCTGTTTACTGCTAACATAGTTCAGAGATTTAGTCATCCCAATAAAATTATAGAGGCACAAGAAAGGAAGAAAGAAACTCCAAAGAAACATCAGCCAAGAAGCTGACATTTTCTAATTTAGATTGTTTTAGCATATTTGAGAGATGCTGCTGGCATGAGGTTTCCTACTGTGGATACCACACTGCATTGGTATGGAGGCAGCTAAAAAAAAATAATGGTCTAAATCCCTCTATTAACTGAGCATTATATCTTCAGGGCACAACAGCAATTTTGGGGTTCTTGTTTTCTTTGAACTGTGAGCAGAGTTGTGCCGGCTTACATAGATATATTTTGCTAGGCCAAAGGATTAAATCATCAGCATTTGGGAGTTAATCTGCCATCTTCCATGAGCAATTACAAATTCTTAAGTAAATTTGCTTTGTGCACTGCTCTGAGAGTTCAGGAAAACATCAGTGGAAAGACCTGAGACCTACTCAGCTTCTGCAGGCCTGGACTAAATTTAGAAGGAGGATCCTCTGGTATTTCTCATTATGGTCCCAGTTCTCTTCATTTAGGTGTAAGGCAGGGGTGGTGCCAGCAAAGGGCAGAAAGAATAAAATAAATATTTTTGCTTTGCAGGGCCAGTCCTGCAGCCAACTGCAGCTTTACCATGGGTTCAACACGCCCAGCCATGAAATATCTGCTGGTTTCCAGTTCTGCCACAAATCCACACAACTTGCTGGATGTGCTTTGGAGCAGCTTTCCCAGCCTAGGAGCCAAAACTCCATTCCCAAGCTGGTTGCAGCCTCCCCTTGGTCTGCAGCACTCCTGTGGCTTTGTCTCCTCATCTACTGTTCTGGAAGAGGAATTCTTGACATGAATACATCCACTGCCATAAACTGGCAGGGCCATAAAACCCTGGTGAACGAGCTTCCAAACAGCTAGATTTATCTGAGTAATGACATTTTAAAGCACATTTAAAACATTTTATAGAACAGTTATTTTAGCTTCCTTTCAGGCCAAACTTTGAGGATGTTATGTTTGCTTAATTGAGCTGTTTCAGATCTGTTCCAGTACTGACAAAAAAAATCCTTTTGTTCCTATGCAGGAAACTGCCTCTGTTGCTGCCAGTGTTCATATAATAAAAAATAATGATTTAAATAAGCCTTAATGCAATTTGAAGATTCCTGATTGTTATGGAAGTGTCAGCTGTAAAGCCTAAAACCAGAGAGAGACAGCAGAGCTTGCACAAACACAGCTCAGGGCATGGCCAGGATTCCCTGTGCTGCTGGATTCAGTCCCTCAGCTCTGCCTGCAATGGGAACAGATACTTCTGGATAAAAATCCCCACAGAATCATCTTTTGAGTTCAGAGTTTACATCCTCTGTACGAAAATCCTTTTGTCCCTATGCAGGAAACTGCCTCTGTTGCTGCCAGTGTTCATATAATAAAAAATAATGATTTAAATAAGCCTTAATGCAATTTGAAGATTCCTGATTGTTATGGAAGTGTCAGCTGTAAAGCCTAAAACCAGAGAGAGACAGCAGAGCTTGCACAAACACAGCTCAGGGCATGGCCAGGATTCCCTGTGCTGCTGGATTCAGTCCCTCAGCTCTGCCTGCAATGGGAACAGATACTTCTGGATAAAAATCCCCACAGAGTTCAGAGTTTGCATCCTCTGTACACTTCCATCCAGATACTCTGCCTGCTGACTTCCACTGCTGCCACAAACACATTATTCTCAGTATCCAACCTTCCTTCAGAGAGAAATTCTGCCCAATTAAGCTAAAAGGAACCAGTTTGAAGTCTTTATTTATCAGGTAATGATTGACAAGACCTCGAGGCAAAAACTAGGAACACTTTATACTACAGTCACTCATTACCCAAGCACGAAAGCAACAGAAATGGGTTATTATGGCCACTTTGAGTTACTCTGTTTTAAATAAAAATATCTATTCCCTTTTTCTGCTTAATGCTGTGGAATCTGTGTTCCTAAATCAGCAGCTGAGAAAGACCAGAAGTTTAGGATAGCAAGTTTAACACACTGATTTGTTTCCTAGCTGGTTTTCCAAGGGTCCATTTACCAAGCAATGTGAACAGACTTTTTAGTTTTAAAAATTGGAAAGTTGTTTCTTGGTATTGTGAGGTTTACCACTTTGGGATAAATCTGCTGTTTTCTCCAACACAATCCTCGTGTATGAATTGATTCCATAAATGAAGAGAGCACAATCTTTACACAGCTTAAGTTTGGCTTTGCAATTAAAAGAAAAATAGGACAAGCCATAGACAGATTCATCAGCTTCACACTTTTCTCCCCCCAGTGAAAGGTACTGGGAATGCTGGGGGAAAAAAGAGGGCTCAGCCTCAGCCCCACAAACCCTTAGAAAGACAACTTTGCACTTGACCAGCTTTTGCAGGCATGGTTAAAGCTAAAGGCTAAAGCCCTACACGGGACTGCTTGAACTAAACTCATCCTCAAAGAACTGCCTTGCTTGTCTGCAGTAAAACCCAATCCCAGGCCAGCCAGCAGTGATTTGGGGA